TAGTGGGATCGTGTTTGGGGAGAAGAAGGTCTAGAAGTGGTCGAGGGTCCAAGGGTTTCAGATGCCCATTTTTTATTAACACATGCATGGCTCAAGATAGAGTCATGTAAAGCTGGTTGAAAGTCCTACTTAGAGATCGAGTAGGATTGGAAGTTCATGAGCTTATATTGGCAAAGGGGTCAGCAGTTTTGGTAGTGGTGACAACACTCACCTCTAAAGGCCTCGCAGTTGTGCTACCCCCCGTAGCATTGGAACTGCGAATAAAATACCTCTTGGCCGTCTCCTTGTCATCTACGATGATACCCTGCTTCATCGCATCTTCAATCTGAACTCCCATTTTCTGAAGTTCCTTGAATGTGAACAGGGGAAGAACGATCATTTTCTACAGCAGCTTGCCGTGAAGATTCCTGACAACCATTCGGATTTGGTCCTTTTTTGAGGGTCGGGTGGTCATCATCGATGCCTTGGGCCTCCATCTAGTTACAAACTCTGAGAAACCCTCCTTCGATTCCTGGCGCGTTGCCTCAAGATCACGAGTTATGACCTCGATTTACGTGTTATAGGAGTATTGGGCAACGAAAGACTAGGCCAACTCCTCCCAGCTCTATTTCACAGAGTCCTCCAATTTAGCATACCAGATGGCAACTATATCTGACATGGTTCGGCTGAAGAGTAACAACTTCTAAAGTCTGGTCAAACCCATTGGTTGCAGGATATCAGAAAACAAACATAGATGTACCATTAGATCTCTAGAGCCATCGAAGAAGTCAATGTGCGGCATTTTGAACCACTCTGGTAAAGTAATGGTGGATTCAGTATACCCATCCTCTATATCCAGAATAGAGTTAACCCCCTGCACCTTCTTGAACATTTTTTCAAGTTTGTTGACTTTGAGCATGGTCGGTTAACCTCGAATTTAAAAGTGTCTCAATTTGCTAAACTGGAGCTCTAGACATCTGTGCTAAGATTGGATCTGCTTGGACAGGAAAAACCAGAACACCTTTGGCTTGTGGATCCTGAGCAGTAGCAGCATTGGCAGTGGTACTGGGTATAGAGATAGCCACGTTAGGTGTATGCAAAGCAGAAGCCGCAACTAGCTGCTGTTGTTGTTGTTATAACCTATTCGTGACCTCAGCTTGACGGGCCATGTTGTGCCGGAGCAAGTCGACTGATTACTGAAAGCAAATTAGTAATTCCTGAAGATCTGATAATGGATACTGAGCCATTCTAGGAGTAGGTGACTATGTTTAAGGTAAACTGAGTGTAGGTGAGCTGAGGGGTGATTGCTGAAATAACTGAAGCTTTTCAAGTTAACACTTGGTTACAACAAAAGAGTACTAACTCATTTACATATTTAGCCCTTGGCTTGAATTTACATGTAATACATCAAAAATAAAACGAGGAAAGTATGCCCGCCTCTAGCCTCCCAAGCTATGTCCTTGGAGGTGGCATGCTACCTGTACCTGAAAATGATATTCCCATATAGGGTGAGCCACAGCCCAGTAGAAATATACTAAACCAAATATGAACAATGACTAAAAGATTAGCAGTTGATAGATGGTCAACACTGATACTTTCCTTTATCACACTTTACATTTCCATGACAAACAAGTCCATATTACAACTCATTTTCCAATTCCTTTCAATTCTCAAATTACAACCATGGCTCAGAACCTGGCCAAACAACTCATATGAGACAGTAACTCATATCAAACACTTCCCATTTCATATTACATAAGCATACTAGCTATATCACACAACAACAGATAAGCATACAAGCTATATCGTCACTTCCACAGATATGCATATGAGCAAATCACCCCTACTAGATCAAAACCTAGAGAGAAGGTAGAGTTCTAGAGTGAGAGGCTCAACAATGGTGTTTTTGGAAAAGTAGGAGAGAGAAGAGAAAGTGAAAAAGTGTTTTGAAAAGTCAAAACTCGGAACTTAAACCCAGTCGCCCCGCTCGAGCGTCAAACACCCCGCTCGAGCGTCACTCACAGACTTCCGCTCGAGCGTCAACAATCCCGCTCGAGCGGCGGATACACACTCCCAGAACTTTTACAGAACCAGGTCTCCGCTCGAGCTTCCAACTCCCCGCTCGAGCGTCACTCACACAATACCGCTCGAGCGGGCCAACCCCACGCTCGAGCGTCCAACGCTGCACAGGAAATACTGGATGGGTAAAACTCCCGCTCGAGCGCCCAAACCCCCGTTCGAGCGGACAGGTCAAAATCTGGGCAACTAGTTTTGGTTTCTAAACTCAACCAACCTGTAACAAACCTTCCCAACACATCCTATAATTCAAATACAAAATAAAAAGGATGTAAACAAGATATTAATCAACTACCAACATCCACGGACACATGTCCGGATCACTGTATAACAAGGGTAAACCCGGGATTGCTATAGCTTATATAAATGGGAGTATAAAAATCACTTTATATAAGTGAAGTAATTCACTTTTTCCTTCTTTTCTCGATGTGGGATTATAAAATAAAAAATAAATAAAAGCTAACCAATGAGAATTTTCTTAATTGTTTAAAACTTAGCAATTGTTTGGACGAGAAGTTTATTTCGAATCAACAATCTTAGCCGTTCAATCTTTAATTATGTCAATCTTTAATTTATTTAAAATCAAACAAATTTAACCAATATATTTTGATAAAATTGCTAAAATCGCAGTTAAACGAGCGAATCGGTCAAACCGAAAACGGTTCACCCTATCGGCTAGGTCAAAGGACCAACCAACTTATACAAAAATTAATTAATTAAAAATTTTAAATTTTATTTTTATTTTAAAATTTAAATTGTCTTGAACTGAAACATACACAACACTACAATATTAAATAGGAGTATAAGGTTTATATAGTGAAACAACTCATTTTTTCCTCCTTTTCTTGATGTGGGATTGTAAAATAAAAGTTAACAGTTGTTTGGACAGGAAGTTCATTTTTAATCAAGCAATCTCAATCGTTCAATTTCTAATAAGGTCAATCTTTGTTTATTTCAAATTAAACAAATCTAAACAATATATTTTGATAAAACAGCTAAAACTGCGATGAAACTAGTGAATCAGTCAAATCGAAAATGATTTAGCTTAATTTGTGAAGTTAAAAGACAAACTAATTTACAACAAAATTAATTAATTAAATCCTTTACATTTTATGTTAAAATTTAAACCATCTTGTACTGAAACATGCACAATATTATAAATTAAATGAGAGTATAAGATTCACTTTATATAAGCGAAATAACTCACTTTTTATTTCTTTTCTTAATGTGGGATTGTAATTATTTTAAATATTATGAGAGTTTCAAAATCTCATACAAAATTATTTTTAAAATCAAAAGGTCTATGTGGAATTGTACGATAAAAGTTAAATGGAAGCTAACCAACAGAGATTTTCTTAATTGTTTAAAATTAAGAAAAAAAAAATGGTATTGATAATAGGGTTTCCCACTAAAAATCTTCTTTTGTTTACATAAATGGGAGTATAAGATTCATTTTATAGGAGTGAAACAATTCACTTTTTCCTTCTTTTTCCGATGTAGGATTGTAAAATAAAAATTAAATGGAAGCCAACCAATTGGGATTTACTTGATTGTTTAAAATTAAGAAATTTCAATAATTTATGTAAATTAGAGCATAAGATTCACTTTATGTAAATGAAACAATTCATTTTTTCCCCCCTGATTTGGGATTGTAAAATAAAAGGTAAATGGAAGTTAGCCAATGAAAATTTTCTTAATTGTTTAAAATTAAGAAAATTTAATAATTTTAGAATAAGGGTTTGAAGCTTCTACAAGGCTTCTCCGTTAAAACTCCCTTTATAAGATTTATTTTATTTAAGTGAAACAACTCACTTTTTTTTTTCTTTTCTCGATGTGGGGTTGTAATTATTTTAAAGTTAAATATTTTGATAGTTTCAAAATCTCATACAAAATTATTTTTAAAATCAAAACTATGTAGGATTGTAAAATAAAAGTTAAATGGAAGCTAGCCAATCAGGATTTTCTTAATTGTTTAAAATAAAAAAAAATTAAAAAAAAATGAGTATGAGATATAGATCATATGGTTTTTCACTAAAAATCTCATTTTGCTTATATAAATGAGAGCATATGATTCATTTTATGTAAGTAAAACAATACATTTTTTCTTTCTTTTTCCAATGTGGGATTGCAAAATAAAAGGTAAATGGAAGCTAGCCAACAGGAATTAGAGAGGCATCGTTTAGGTTGGTGAATTTATCATACCCTATCATTTTGTAAACTCATATGCATGTTAAAAAAAAAAAAAAATAAGATTACAAATTTAATACGATATTTTATATGAATAATTTATATACAGAGATCTACAAGATGATTGAGCGAATTATAGAATGCGGATTGAATAATAATAATAATAATAATCAACAGTGAGTGGTCACGCTTTCCTTAAAAAATGTATTTCGGTAGTAAAAGCGTGGTTGTGAACAAGACGATATTTTATATGAATAATTTAAAAACTGTATTGAACCAGGTTTTTTGAAGAAAAAAAAATTATTTCAAACCACAGTAAAAGCGTGGTTCAAAACCACATTTTCTGGAAAAAAAAAATTACACAGTTAAAGCGTGGTTCACAACCACATTTTTAAAAAAAAAAAAAAATCACTTAAAAGCGTGGTTCACAACCACATTTTTAGGAAATTTTTTTTTTACTTAAAAGCGTGGTTCACAACCACGTTTTCAGAAATAAATAAATAAATTTACTTAAAAGCGTGGTTCCTAACCACGCTTTCTTAATTAAAAGTGTGGTTTGGAAACGCACTTTTACGATTTTACAAAATTTCCATGTGAGAGGCAGAAAAATAGTGAAAGCGTGGTTCACAACCACGTTTTAGTCTAGAGTGGAAATTCTGTCCAAACTAGGCCTAGTTTGGGAAATAGGTTGCTAATTTGGCTTAATTTGGGAAAAGCCCTGGTGTCTGCTCGCGAACACAGAGCTGAGCTTGAAGAAGATGTCAAGAAGAAGAAGAATTTCTATTTCTTCCATTATTGGACCAAGAATAGCTTACTACAATCATTGGCTATTAAAACGTACTTCCACATCTCCATCTCTATTTGTTCTGTTTCGTTCTTTCTCTAACACCACCAAAAACCCTACTTCTCATCCTCAAGGACACGAACCTAAACCTAAAGCCTTACCCAAACAACCATGGTATTTGGGTCCCAATCATCTTCATTCTGCTTTAATTTCCTTCAATCGCATGCTCCGAATGCGACCTTTACCCCCAATTTCTCAATTCAACAAAGCTTTAGGCTCTATCTTGAAAATGGCTCATTACGCCACTGCTCTTTCTCTTATTCATAACAAGTTGCAACAGTTCCAAGCTATTCAGGTCAATTTCTACACCTTCAATATTGCTATTAACTATTACTGCCGCCTTAATCGAGTCGATTTTGGGTTGTCTCTTTTGGGAACCCTCTTCAAACGCAGTTATACACCTGATGTAACTACCTTCACAACTCCGATTAATGGGCTTATTTTGCAAGATAAAACTCCTCAAGCTGTGAAGTTAGTTAAGAAATTAATGAGAACTAGAGAAATTGAACCCAACGTGGTTATGTATGGAACCATTGTCAATGGGCTCTGCAGAACGGGAAACACTTTCAGGGCTGTTAGTTTGCTTAGGATTATGGAAGAGGGAAGTTATGAACCTAACACCGTAGTGTATACCATGATCATTGACAATCTTTGCAAGGATAGAATGGTGGATGATGCTTTCAAACTCTTTTCTACAATGGATGAAAAGGGTATTTTCCCAAATGTTGTCACTTATACTTCTTTGATTCATGGCCTATGTAATTTCGGTCGGTGGAAGGAGGCTGCTGAAATGTTCAAAGGAATGTTGGATAGTGGCATTGCTCCGAATGTTCATTCGTATAGTGTGTTGTTGAATGCATGTACCAAGGAAGGGAAGATGAAAGGGGCAGAGGGAGTACTTGAATTCATGATATGAAGAGGTGTGGGTCCTGACGTAGTCACATACAGTACTCTAATGGATGGATATTGTTTGCAAGGTCACATGGATGAAGCAATCAAAGTGTTCAATACCATAGTGGATAGGGGCCTTCACCCTAACATTGTTAGCCACAACATTTTGATTAATGGATATTGCAAGAAAATGAAAATAGATGAGGCCATGCTTCTCTTTCGACAATTGCCTCGAAGGGGGTCGAGACCTAACACTGAAATGTTCAATGCTATGTTACGGGGTTTGTTTCAAATAGGTAGATGTGGAGCTACTCAAAAACTTTTTAATGATATGCAAGCTGCAGGCGTAAATCCAGATTCTCAAACTTATGGTATCGTGTTGGATGGGATGTGCAGAAACAAGAATATTTCCAAAGCATTGTCATTATTCCAAATGATGGAAAGGAATGGTTTAGATCTTAATAGTGTTACATACAGTATTCTCATTGATGCATTTTGCAAGGACAACAAGCTTGGCACTGCAAGGGCTCTTTTCAGTAACCTTTCTTCCAAGGGATTACATGTAACGCCCTCAAAATTAACCCATTATATATATCATTGACATTCATTATTTAAAGAAGACAATCTATTAATTCTTTCATCAGAGTTTTACAAAATAAAGCATTACATGTATCATTGAATAAAATGCCCTACAGGCTTACATCTTTCCAAGCCAACACTTGGATACAAAAATATGAGTTCTAACTCAATACAAGAAAAGCCCTAGGCTTGAATGTTTACATGTACTAATAATTTAAGACAGTTAACTAAAAGTAATCTTCTTCAATCCATAAGCCAAACCCTCCCAAGCTAATTCCTTGGAGGAAGTTTATCACCTGAACCTGAAAATGATGTTCCCATAAAGGGTGAGCCACAGCCCAGTAGAAATATACTAAACCACATATAAGCAATGAATAAAGCAATAGCATTCAACAGATGGTCAACCAAAATAATCAATTACTTCATTTTACAGACTCATGACATTATTGCCAAAGATACGTTTTACTTTCCAATTTAATCAACATGGTTCAGAACCTGGCCAAACTTATAACAGTGAAATCACATATATCATATTCACATCCTTCCATATGCTAAACTAGTTACAAATTACAATAATGGTTGGTCTTTGTGCTCTATGAGATTTATACAAAGCTTGAGAGGCTTTACATCATAGATAAGATTGTCATTGTTAAATGGAAGAAAAAAAATAAAAATAAAAAGATCGATGAATAAACCATTTAGAAGTTGATACTCTTCCCAATAGTGGGTGAGGCAATTCTCGCCTTGTTCGAATGCCTATTGTTGATTTATAATTTCCATTTATGTATCTTGTGCATAATACCTCATAATTCTTTCACCCTGTCAAAATTTTTGATTCCCCTCTTTTGAAGGTTCATATCGCTGCTGCCGCTCTAAGCAACCCCACTCACATACCTCAGTGCTGACATAATTCAATGGCAACAAAAAATTCTTGTTGAATTAACAACTGTTCCTTTTCTTCTAACCTATTTCAAATACAATATTATTTTTATATTATTCTATTGGTATTTATTAGAACACTATATTCTTGTGTTGATTGTGAGGACTATCAATTCATTCATGTTTTTGCTCCAATTGAAGCTCATGTACTGGTAATTGACTTGATCAAATAGAGTATCAGCATGCTCTACAAAGCTAAAGCAAACGGGCCCTTATGAATTAGGTTTGGACTCATCAATCTAGTTTTAATTTGCACCCTCATTCTGATAGTGGTGCAGGGACTTTGTTAAAGGACCCGGGTGGTGATTATGGAGATTATTCAAATCCTTGATGGAGTTTTAAAGGCTGTAACATCTTGGACTGGGAAGAATTCTGTCACGACCCCATTCTGCCCCTAGTAGAATGGTGCCGTGATGGCCAGTAATCCGAGATTACCAAAGGCCAACTTACAAAGGTTCACACACAATCAGAGTATACATATGGGGCTTACATGTGCGGAAGCAATAAATTTAAATCTAATTAGTCCATAAGAGTTGTGCATAGATCAAATGAAATGTCATACATAACGTGGTTTTACAACTTGAGTACAAGTACAATAAATACATATTAGATCTTGATCAAACAGCTTCTCAAGCCGACATATACAAAAGAAATAACTACAAGCCAAGAAGCATAATCTTCAAGATACTACAAAACATGAATCCAAAAGCATCTTGCAAACAATCATCTAGGCGTCACCGCCTTCCTGCTCTTCACCTACATATATATAGAGAGGGTGAGCTTGGATACTCAGTGAATGATACCAGTAATAAAGGTTTTGCATGAATGATATTCAAGATCTCTTTTCTAAACAATACATAGCATAACTTATACAAAATCAAGGGATGAACCGAGTCCATCAATCAAGTCTTTCAAATCTTCAAGGGATGCTTACTAGCATCAATATAATACAAGGGATGACATTCCGAACAAACAAACCCACGTGGAAAACCGTCAGTGGCTCATTGTTAAATGGAAGAAAAAAAATAAAAATAAAAAGATCGATGAATAAACCATTTAGAAGTTGATACTCTACCCAATAGTGGGTGAGGCAATTCTCGCCTTGTTCGAATGCCTATTGTTGATTTATAATTTCCATTTATGTATCTTGTGCATAATACCTCATAATTCTTTCACTCTGTCAAAATTTTTGATTCCCCTCTTTTGAAGGTTCATATTGCTGCTGCCGCTCTAAGCAACCCACTCACATACCTCAGTGCTGACATAATTCAATGGCAACAAAAAATTCTTGTTGAATTAACAACTGTTCCTTTTCTTCTAAGCTATTTCAAATACAATATTATTTTTATATTATTCTATTGGTATTTATTAGAACACTATATTCTTGTGTTGATTGTGAGGACTATCAATTCATTCATGTTTTTGCTCCAATTGAAGCTCATGTACTGGTAATTGACTTGATCAAATAGAGTATCAGCATGCTCTACAAAGCTAAAGCAAACGGGCCCTTAAGAATTAGGTTTGGACTCATCGATCTAGTTTTAATTTGCACCCTCATTCTGATAATGGTGCAGGGACTTTGTTAAAGGACCCGGGTGGTGATTATGGAGATTATTCAAATCCTTGATGGAGTTTTAAAGGCTGTAACATCTTGGACTGGGAAGAATTCTGTCACGACCCCATTCTGCCCCTAGTAGAATGGTGCCGTGATGGCCAGTAATCCGAGATTACCAAAGGCCAACTTACAAAGGTTCACACACAATCAGAGTATACATATGGGGCTTACATGTGCGGAAGTAATAAATTTAAATCTAATTAGTCCATAAGAGTTGTGCATAGATCAAATGAAATGTCATACATAACGTGGTTTTACAACTTGAGTACAAGTACAATAAATACATATTAGATCTTGATCAAACAGCTTCTCAAGCCGACATATACAAAAGAAATAACTACAAGCCAAGAAGCATAATCTTCAAGATACTACAAAACATGAATCCAAAAGCATCTTGCAAACAATCATCTAGGCGTCACCGCCTTCCTGCTCTTCACCTACATATATATAGAGAGAGTGAGCTTGGATACTCAGTGAATGATACCAGTAATAAAGGTTTTGCATGAATGATATTCAAGATCTCTTTTCTAAACAATACATAGCATAACTTATACAAAATCAAGGGATGAACCGAGTCCATCAATCAAGTCTTTCAAATCTTCAAGGGATGCTTACTAGCATCAATATAATACATGGGATGACATTCTGAACAAACAAACCCACGCGGAAAACCGTCAGTGGCAAAACAAGGGTGCAGTTGCATTATAGTCCCCTGGCACTAAGGACTTTCCCAGAACGTCATCAAAACAAAGATAATACTAGATACAAAACTAGGGACAATCATTCATGCTTGATCAAATACTTTTCCAAAACAAAGCAAAGCAAAGCTTTTATCAAAACATTATAACATAGCTTTATTAAAAATACCACTCACATAGTTCTTCGGGTGAAGGAATTACAAGCAAGGATCCAAGGCCTACAAGCACATAATAAATTCCATTGAATGCGTTTCAATAAGACAAGGTGAGATGCTCAAAGATGGATATGAAATGCATCCTTAAAACAAGCTTTACATGACAGGAAAGGATCTCGGCATTTCTTTCAAAATCAAGTCAAAACAAAGCAAAACATGCTTCTGGAAAACATGCTGGATACTAACCAAGTCTAGGCTGAGGTCCCACACCTCTTGGCCGAGGTGTGTTCCCGACGACCACATTCAAGGAAATGAAGTCTGGGAAAATTTGGGTTTCCCTCTTGAAGGACATGAAGAGCATGAATGCTAAATTCATAACTTCTTTATTCGAAATCTGAGTTTTCATGAGATGAGTTTGAAAACATGGACCTGGGTACCCATACTTGAATATTTCATGGAAACAAACACAAAAACATAGAACTTGTTACAAACTTTCGGATCAAAACATGGTTTTATCTCAAGAACATAAGAACATCATTTTCTCTTTCTAAAGCAAGTTTTAAATCAATGCATGGCTCATGAATCATGCTAGATAATGCAATGCAATCGGATCAACATAAAGAATAACAAGAGTAAATCAAGATTCTAACCTCAAAACACGGATTAAACGGCTCAAACTCTAAAGATCAAGCTTGGGATCTAGCTCTCTCACTCCAACTTCCTCTCCTCTTCCTAGAGCTTCTCTCTCTACCATGCAAGAGATATGACCAAATGATATGTTTTCTCTACTGCCAGCAGACTTAACCCTCTGCTGGGACACGTGGCAACGACCGGTTGGTTCTCCTCAAAAAGGTGACTGAATGAAAAGACAAGGCTATGACAAAGTGGGAGCAACAAGTAAGGTGACATGGGCACTTCGGCGGGTAATGATCTCGGCTAGGACAAAGCTTCGGCAAGTAGGGTCTCAATGATCTCGGCTAGGAAGGACAACACTTGGCCTAGTTGTGCCACACCTTCGCCTAGGTCGTACCAGTCCAGGGACAAGATCACTTTGGTATAACATCTCGGCCTTGGTGATGAACACCTTGGCCTAGATAATGACATCTCGGCCAACATGTCAGAGTGAGGGTGGAGGTCAACCAAAGTGGTTCCAAGATGGTCCTAGGTGTAAGAAGTTCAAAGGTGTAACCTAGGCTTAAGATGACCTCGGCTAAACTCACACCAAGCAAGGAACAAGGCATGCAAGCAACGCTTATGCGAAACAAATCAAGGTTTGTAAATGCAACTTAACAAGACAAGATCATGTAAATACATGCAAGCATGACTACAGTAAAGTGAGGGTTGTTATAGATTCCTTGTGGAATCAAGGAATTTTTGAAGTACCTACAGCTGCTGGAGCTTGATCTTTGCTGTTTGTTTCCTCATACAAGGCAAGTGTCTATAAGCTTAATTCCTCATCATTACAGCCCAAGGGTAGCAACCTTTTTCAGCACCACAAGCATCAAATTATTCTTATTTTTATTTGAGTAAACTACACATACACAGACCTTCCTTGAGGTTTCTGACACTTTCAAATTCGGCCCTTGTGATTTTTGAAATGACTTATGACACTACTGTGTTAACAGAAAGCATTTTTTTATAACTATTTTGCTTGTAGTCATAATGTTATATAAAATTCATTTCTATCGTCAAATTCAATTAATTTTGAGAAGACAACTACGCCCTGAATGTCTCACTCAATTTATCAGCCGAAGCCATCTGTTACAAACTCGGAAAAGCTTTGTTTGATCTATTTGTTTGAATTCCTAAATCTATGTGTGTGTACATAGGTATATGTTTGAAACTATAGTATAAGTCTTGTTTTATTATTGTTTAATGGATATCTTGTGAATTCATTTGTCACTAAATTTTTCAACAACAGTTTGAAAAATCATCGCAAAAAATTATTTTTAGCAACGATTTTACTAGGACTTATTTTCAATAGGACTTGATGAGAATTAAATCCAACTATTAATTAAGCATTTTTTGTTTTTATTCCGTGCAACTTGTTCAAACATATTGTTAGTTATTAATTAACTAGTACACGTGTCACACGATGATTTCTTATGGGAATAAATCGCAAAGTAGAGGTTTCTTTAAGTAGACGATTAGTTGAGTGGCCTGAGATCACTCACCAATCACCATTTCACACAAATCCCAAGCTGCCCGCGTGAGTTTCAATCTCCTGGGTCATTTGGTTGGAGAGGAATGGGCGTATTTTTGAAGGAGAGAATAGGGATATAGATTATTTATGGAATAGAGTGAGATACTTGGCATCTTTTTGGGCTTCGGTGAGTCCTGTGTTCCGCGGGATCCCTTTGTTTTTGATTGATTCAGATTGGGTGTCGGTTTGCTTTGAATAATTTGTAGTTGATGGCTTTTTGTTTTTGTTTGTTTTTTGGATGTATTTTTTATTTTTCCTGTTGAGGATGCCTCATCCTCTTGGCCTTGTGCCTTAATAAAATTTATCTTGTGTGTTGCTGATTAAAAAAAAAAAGTTAAGAGAGAAAAGAAAAGTTGAGAAAAGAAATGATTATGATTTCTCTCCCTTCTTTTTGGTTAAGTTGGAAAGAAAAGAAAGTGATTTCTCACCAAATCTTGTTTGGATGGATTAAATAAAAGAAAAGAAACTCTTAATAGGTTATTTTACCAAAATAACCTTTTATGTTCTTGTTTCTTTTGTAAGAAACTCTTAATAGGCAATTTTGGTAGCACCCAAAAAGGGTTTATTACACTTTCTACCCCTCAACTATCACCAAATTGTCTATTTAATCGTTGAACTATCGATTGCATCTACTCAGTCCTAAAGTATACAAGTCAAAGTTTATTTAGTCCCTAAATTATCAATTGAATCTATTAAAGTCCCTTAAATATTTAATTCAAACTTATTTAGTCCTTGAAAGAATTACAAAAATAAAATATAAGCCCATAATTATTATAAATTAGTGAAAGACCTGACCAAATTAAGATTTTATTGGAGAAAAAATTTCAATTTGTATTTTTTCATTAAAAAATATTTTATTTCGCTGTGTTTTTAAATTAGTATTAGAGTCTGATTTTTCAGTCTTACCAATAAAATTATATGAGTATTTGATATATTGAAGAAGTTGAATTAGATAATTTAAATAATAATATTTCGCTACAAAATAATAATTGAACAAAATAATGCATTAATTAAGCTATAAAATGAATTTAGCAAAAAGCTTAAAAATAATCAATTAGTAATTATGAAGGAAATATGGCATGTAATACTAGATAAAGACAAATAAGTAGCCATTATAGAAGATAAATAGAAAATTACTCTTACCCTTACAAAAGAAAATTCACCATAAAAATTAATGCCCCCTTTTCAAAGAGAATAAGAATCTAAGGTTATTTTGAAATAAAATTTTAACTAAATAGAGTCCTTTATTAATTTATAATACTTATGGGTTTATATTTTATTTTTGTAATCTTTTTAGGACTAAATATGTTTGAGTTATATACTTAGGAACTTAATAGATTCAAATTTCAATTGATAGTGTATAGATTTTGATTTATATACTTTAGAGACATAGTAGACTCAATCGATAATTCAAGGACTAAGTAGGTAATTGAGCAATAGTTTAGGGGTATAAAGTGTAATAAACCCTATACAAAATTGGTAATCTTTCCATTTCTTTTCTATCTCTCCAATTTTGGAGAGATTCAAAAAGTGAGTTATGAGAGAAATATTTCTCTCCATTTCTTCTCATTTATCTCTTGTTTAGTAATCCAAACAAGTGATTAAGATTAAGAGAGATTGATTTGTTTTCTTTTCTCTCCAAATAACTCAATTCAAGAAGTTAGTTATGAGAGAAATAGTTTATTATATGCTTCTGTTAGGAATATTATGTTTGTGGAAGTATTGTCATTGTTTGTATATTATTATATAGAACAGTACATAAAAATACATCTCAACATATTATATCTATATCTTAATATACTTCTATGCATAACTTCAACAATGCAGTATGCTCGATCCCCCCCGCGCGAAAACTCCCCGTGGTGAAGGGGAAAATCATTATGGGTATGGTGTGTGGGTGTTTGTGTCCCATGTGGCCAACATATTAACTCCACCATGATGAGAAGGCATGCACCTTTCTTGGGTGGCCGGCCTTACCTTGGCACCACTCAATGCTCACTCCATCTGTTTGGCACCACGCGCCTCGTGCATGCCTTTACCTTGCTAAGGATCTGCTTGATTCCTGCCTCGCACCCAAAGCTCCATTCTTGTCTAGGTTGGGAGCAAGGCCTCTAGGGCCCCTCGCGGATCACCATGACTTATGGATTGGTGGCTAGAGTTGAGGGATCGTCATGGTTGTTCACCCTACCCCTTAGAGGTGGCTGTACCTTGACCAGTATTAGACGAGGGAGGCCTCTTTGACCAAGTCATGTGATACCTTAAAAGATGTATCACACCTACCTCTGTCAGCTTTTGGCATGCCTCCATGGCCCAACTGTCTAATTAAAGGTGGTCTTCACCTCCATACAAGACAGACCCTGGAGGATAGCTTACTCTCCCACCCTAAAAGCCTCCTATATTGCTACTCTCTCTCTACTGAGGCTGCCTCAGGTCTCTGTCTCTCTCGTGGTCTTGTGTTATCTTTGTTTCAACCATGATTCCTAGAGCACCCACGGTCGGCATGCATCACCATGGGGGTGTTTGGTAGAGATTATTTTAAGCTAAAAGCTAATAATCAGAAAGCAGAAGCTAAAAACACTCCTCCCCACCTTATGGAAAATTGACTTTTTCCAACTTATTTAAGCTATTCTGCCTAATAAGCTATAAGCAAAAGTTGCACCAAACAGTCTGGCACAAACTTCGAAATTAAAATAAGCTATAAGTTGCCTCTATAATCCACACCAAACACCCCCCATGACCGTCTACATTCTGTAATGGTTTTTATGGCGGATGACACTGCATTACTGCATGAACTCTATTTCTTGGTTTTGTTCATGCCATTTTTTACCATTTGGTACTTGCAAGGCAGTTGATATGTAGAGTTCTAAAATTCAGGTGGTGGAAATTCTTGCCCGTAATTTGGAAAGTGAATCAAGTTTACGCAGAAGGGTTGACTTGTTTTTCCTCGTGGATTCTATTACTCAGTGCTCTCGTGGCTTGAAAGGTAATTGGTTTTCTATCTTGCTATCTAACCGCTGAATCTTGATGGCTCCTGGATGTCATGTATATTTGAATGATTATTCAGGTTGACAGGTTATGTTTTTTTGTTCTGTTTTGGATTTGGTGATGCTGAAGTCTAGTTTGAATTTCCAGGTGATGTTGGTGATATATATCCTTCAGCAATCCAAGCAGTGCTGCCACGTTTATTGTTGGCTGCTGTTCCTCCTGGAAATAATTCACAAGAAAATCGTAGGCAGTGCTTGAAGGTAGAATCCTGTTTTGGCTTAAAAAGTTGCATTTTGTTTTGGCTTTTACCCTCATTTGTTCCTTTTGATGTATAGGTTTTGAAGCTCTGGTTGGAAAGAAGGATCCTTCCGGATTCCATTATTCGTCATCATATTCGAGAGCTCGAATCTGTCACTGGTTCATCTTCTTCTGGTGCTTTTGCTCGGCGCCCCATGAGAACAGAAAGGGCTTTTGATGATCCTATTAGGGAAATGGAGGGTATGCTTGTCGATGAATATGGAAGGTGTGAAATTGTTATTTTTTCTCTTTTGTTTCTTAACAAAATTTAAATGAAAAAGAAAAGAATATGGAAGTTGTCAATTTGTTGAATCTCTTTAACTTTTTACATGTGTGCATTATCAATTATTGAATCTTTATCTTATTGCTTCAGCAATTCAAGTTTTCAGCTTCCCGGTTTTTGTATGGGGCCTATGCTCAAGCATGAAGATGAAGGAAGCGATTCTGATGGTGGGAGTTTTGAGGCTGTTACTCCTGAACATAATTCTGAAACCCCTAAAAAACAGGAAATAATCCCAGTAACTGCAACAACTGGAAAACATAGACATATCTTGGAAGATGTTGATGGTGAGCTTGAAATGGAGGATGTATCTCCCACTTGTGAAGTTAATGTGAATTCCACCTGTAATGGTGGCATCGATACCGCACAGACTATGCATCCTCGGTTTGAAAGACATTTCCCACTTTCCTTTGCCCCACCCTTACCTCAGGACGTGCCACCATCATCTCCTCCTCTGCCAACATCTCCACCACCATTACCACAAACCGTTCCGCCTCCACCACCTCCTCCTCCTCCTCCGCCTCCGCCTCCACCTCCACCGCCACGTCTTATGCCTGATCCTATTTCGAATGATCTTGATTCGAAGCTCTACGTGGGTACACATGTGCGTTGCTGCTTTGTTCTTTGGCAATATGTTTTGTGCTATTTAGGGTATTGTTAATCTGAAAATGTAGTTTCTGACATGGGAGTAATTTATTTTTTTTGTTTCTGTGTTGATTGGGCATGCATTTGCAGAATATCAAAGAAAATTTGCACCAGCCTATTATTCAGCAGCCTGTTGCACCAAGAATAAACTCAGTAACCTCAGATGCAGTGTGTTATCAGGCTCCTGAATCCCGAGATGTTAAGATACAAACGCAGACACCAGATTCTGCTTCTTTCAACAGTGTTCCTGTGTCCCATCCACTAATTCGACCTGTGAATAGTGCTCAACAGACAGATGGTGCCACCTTCCACAATAGGGCCTATCATTTGCGTCCTCCTCAACCTGCATCATCAAATCAGTTCTCTTATGTTCAGGCTGATCAACGAGTGCAGTCACTGAGGGAGGTGCCTCCCCCTTTGTACCCTAACAGGCCCCATTTTGTGCAGAGCACGGATGGTGGAAATTATTATAATACTGACCACGATAGAATGAAGATGGTCCCACACGAGTTTAGGGAGAGCTGGCAGTTTTCTGGGCCCCCATTTTCTGGTAAGTTTTGTTACTTGACTAAGTTCAATGAAAGATTATAGATTGTCGAATCATCTTTTTGATTTGATATTCGTTGATTGCATGTTTACTTTGATATCAATGCCCCAGATACATACTATCCTCCTGATCATGTGAGAGGGTCATATCCACCTGCTCCATATGCTGGCCCACTGTGTGAACCACCATTACCAAACCATGGGTGGGGTTACCCTCCCCGGGCCATGAACCATAGAGAACTTGCGCCTCATAGACCGCCATCTGAAGGTCCAATCCCAGTGCCCATCAGAGGTTTGTGTTCTCTTCCCACTCATTGGTTGTACATACTACTTAGAAAAAAAAAGGGATTACTTTGGTTGTTTAGCTCTGAAATCGTTTCTTTTTGGTGTTTCAGCTCCCAACTTTTGGGGACCAAGATAAAACCGTCATTATGGAGCTAGCAGTGCTGGTAGGTACACAATTGTTTTCATCTCAGGTTTTAGACGTTCTTTGTGATGCATCTTTACGTGCTTATTGATTACATAATCTCATTTATGATTGTTAGGTATAACCCATTTTTTATCTGGGTCCTGCGGCTTGTTCAAAAGTTTGAGATAATATTCAGGTCCAGCTGTTCTTAAAATTTTGAGGTACAATCTTCAGAAAGGGTGCAACACCAGTTCCTGATTGTATATATGCTAATGTGGATGGTAAGACAGACGACTCTCTCAGAGAATGGAGAAAGATGTGACCACCGATCTCTAGGCTGTCAACTTTCATGTATCAATTAATCCCCTCTTTTTCTTTTCTTCTTTTTTAAATTTCAAGAAATTAATCTAGTTTTTTTTTTTAAAGCCCTTTATAGGATGTTATTATCATTTTTTTGGGGCTATTTGTTACGGGTTTTTTTAACTGTCTTGTTGGCATTTGTAGGGCCCTTAAATGCTGTAAAAAGTTTCTCATTTTTGTTTTTGTACATTTGGAGGAGTATTTAGCCTGAGCCCTCTACAAATTGGTAATTTCATGGAAGTGTGTGGTAAACAAAGTTCTCTTAATTCAAATAAAAAACCTTGTCTATGTTGGCTAGTTATGTTTCAACTTTTTAGTACGTAAATTCACTGTTGAAATCAATCGAAAACTTGGTGAATGTTGTAAGAAAACATTTCCATTAAATAACGTCAATGCTATTATATATACACTTGTTTGGGTTAAAGGCCAAAGACGTCTTTTTACCTACAAATGGGATTTATTGGTTCAAAAACTTTTTGACAGGACCTAAGCTACTACCAAATATGTAGATAGGACTTTTAGGTAATTAATCCTAAACAAAAAGATAAGAAGAAAATTTAGAATGGTATTCTCATTTGATCTGAAAATAATTCTAGATAACCAATAAATTATCACCTATAACCCTCATTTTTTTTAATAAAAAAAGATATTTCATGAACCATCACTTTTAATAGAAAAATAACATTTATTTATATTTGTTTTAGCAAAAGTTACTTTTTAACAATTTGAGCAAAAAAAATTCATTTTTTATTTTAGTTTGTTTAATTGAAAATTGAGATTAAAATTAAAAAAAAAAAAACAAAACAAAGCAAAAAAACAAACAAGATTCACCATGTTTCGTAAGTGCTAAAAAAATCTAGATAAACAATAAGGTAAATATTTGAGATTCACAAAAAATACCCATAATTGTATCCACAATAATGTGGTATTATATGTATCAACTTTGGATTTACTATACACTCAATGACATGGGACTCAACTCCCTTGTCACATCATTATGGGGGAAAGTGTGAGTTTGTAACATTGCTGGAATAATAAATTATTACATGTAACTCCCATAAGTTTCACCAACCATCACTTTTAATAGAAAAATAATGTTTATTTCTATTTGATTTTAGCAAAAGTCACTTATTAACTATTTAAGCAAAATAATAATAATAATAATAATAATAATAATAATAATAATAATAATAATAATAATAATAATAATAATAATTTGTTAAATTAAAAGAAAAAATACAGAATCCACCATGTTTGGAAATTATTAAAAAAAATTATTCATTTTTTAATATTTTTATTGTTTGTTAAAGAAAATATTAATTTAAAAAAATTATTTTTCAAGTCCACAAAAATTTATAAAATTTAAAACCAAAAATGACAAAAAATAAAAATATAACTTTTTATAGTGATTAATAATTTGAACACGTGTATTTAATAACATATTATGAATATTGATCTTATTCCAATTATGATAGCAAAATTTAAGACAGAATCTAAATTTAAAATTTTATTAAAAATATAAAATTAATTTAGAAACCAATCATATTGTGGCACATATTAAAAAAAAATGAGAAAAAATGAGAAAAAATAATTGTAACTTTCAACTTTAGTAAGATAACAACGTTCTGGGATTATAATAATATACAGATATAGATATAGATTAATTAAATAGATTGGCTAATAGATTTTCTTTTTCTTTTTTTTCCTACCTATTTAGTAAATTGAAAAATAAACAATTTTATGATAGAACTTTGAAACTCCTACTAGGGGTGCTCAAATAACCGAACAATCCATGAAACCGACCATGCCCGTCCGACCCGGATGCGATACGGGCGGTTTCGACCAATAACTCGGTCGGCTATGGATGTAAAATCCAAATTTTCTGTGAATTTCGGTCGGAAGCCGGGTATAATATAATTAAATCCGCTTAAACCGATCCGACCGAATTAGATATATATATTTTATTATTATTACGTTAGCTTTGTCTAGGGAGTTTAACCAAAAGCAGACACCTACTGTCTGTCTTTTGTCTTGAAAATTATACAAATAGTACACTTTTATTTATCCAACATCTTTATATATCTTTCCAAGTTCTTTTACAAACTGCACACTTATCTCTTCCCAATCAAACTTATTTTTTCAAGATTTTTATATACCTACTGTCTCTCTTTATCACAAATTTGACGCCTCTCTCTGACCCACAAACGTCGCATCTCATCACCTCTCTTTCTCTCTCCTCAATTCTGATGCCGTCTTTTCCACTCTCTCTCTTTCTTTCTCTGTGTGAAAAACCACCATCTCTTTTCCTTTCTCATCTTCCTTATCCCTCTCTCTCTCTCTCTCTCTCTCTCTCTCTCTCTCTCTATCTCAACAGATCCATCCGTTTCTTACACTCCCTCATCCCTCATTGCGATTTTATTTTTTTCAGAAACAGATTTATCCATCTTACTCTCCCTCATCTTTATTTCTCTTTTCTCCTTACCCTTTCTATTGATGATGTGGCGGTGGTGGTGGATGAGCGCAAAATTAACGTTGGTGGCGATGATGAGCGATGGTCGTGGTGGTGGTTGCGGCTGCGATGAGCAATGGTGGGGACAATGATCAACAATGCGATCCCTCTCTCGTTTTTTCTTTATTTTCTCTCCTCAAGTCTCATTCTAATTGTAAGAAATATATGTATATGTTTATATAAGTGTTTTTTGTTTCATAATAAATGTATATGTGTGTTTAAGTTTGCTATTTTCAAATTTTAATTCCATTTTTCATAATATTTTTTCTACTCCTTTCAGATCTACGAAATCGACCGAACCGATTGCCAAACCGATTTGTTTGGTTCGGTCGATTTCGAACCCTAGCTTGGTCGATGATGGGTGACTGATTCTCTAACCCGAAGGTATCGGTTCGGCTGCTGGGTCAAAGACAAACCCGAGCTGAACCGACCCGTAAACACCCCTAACTCCTACAAATCTTCTCATTAAAAACCCTCCCTCTCTCCTCGCACATGCCCCGAGCTGAGCTTGAAGAAGATGTCAAGAAGAAGAAGAACAATTTCTATTTCTTCCATTATTGGACCAAGAATAGCTTACTACAATCATTGGCTATTAAAACGTACTTCAAAATCGAAATCTCCATCTCCACTTGTTAAAGTTAATCAACCCTCTTGTTTCTTATTTGTTCTGTTTCGTTCTTTCTCTAACACCACCAAAAACCCTACTTCTCCTCCTCAAGTAGGCGAACCTAAACATGAAGCCTTACCCAAACAACCATGCAATTTGGGTCCCAATCATCTTCATTCTGCTTTAATTTCCTTCAATCGAATGCTCCGGATGCGACCTTTGCCTCCAATTTCTCAATTCAACAAAGCTTTAGGCTCTATTTTGAAAATGGGTCATTATGCCACTGCTCTTTCTCTGATTCATAACAAGTTGCAACAGCTCCAAGGCATTCAGGTCAATTTCTACACCTTCAACTTTGTTATTAACTGTTACTGCCACCTTAATCGAGTCGATTTTGGGTTGTCTCTTTTGGGTACCCTCTTCAAACGCGGTTATACACCTGATGTAACTACCATCAACACTCGGATTAATGGACTTATTTTGCAAGATAAAACTCCTCAAGCTGTGGAGTTATTTAAGAAATTAATGAGAACTAGAGAAATGTAACTACCATCAACGCTCTAATTAATGGACTTATTTTGCAAGATAAAACTCCTCAAGCTGTGGAGTTATTTAAGAAATTAATGAGAACTAGAGAAATTGAACCTAACGTGGTTATGTATGGAACCATTGTCAATGGGCTCTGCAGAATGGGCAACACTATCAGGGCTGTTAGTTTGCTGAGGATAATGGAAGAGGGAAGTTGTAAACCTAACACCGTAGTGTACACCACGATCATTGACAGTCTTTGCAAGGATAGAATGGTGGATGATGCTCTCAAACTCTTTTCTACAAAGGATGAAAAGGGTATTTTCCCAAGTGTTGTCACTTATACTTCTTTGATTCATGGCCTATGTAATTTTGGCCCGTGGAAGGAGGCTACTGGAATGTTCAGAGAAATGTTGGATAGTGGTATTGCTCTAAATGTTCATACGTATAATGTGTTGCTGGATGCATGTACCAAGGAAGGGAAGATGAAAGAGGCAGAGGGGGTAATTGAAGCCATGATACAAAGAGGTGTGGATCCTGATGTAGTCACATACAATACTCTAATGGATGGATATTGTTTGCAAGGCCAAATGGATGAAGCAATTAGAGTGTTCAATACCATGGTGGATAGGGGCCTTCACCCCAATGTTTTTAGCTATAACATTCTAATCAATGGATATTGCAAGAAAATGAAAATAGATGAGGCCAAGCATCTCTTTCGAGAATTGCCTCAAAGGGGTTTGAAACCCGACAATGCAACTTTTAGTGCTATGTTACGGGGTTTGTTTCAAATAGGTAGATGTGGAGTTGCTCAAAAACTTTTTAATGATATGCAAGCTGCAGGCATAATTCCAGATTCTCAAACTTATGGTATCTTATTGGATGGGTTGTGCAAAAATGGGCACATTTCTGAAGCATTGTCAATATTCTTATTGATGCATTCTGCAAGGATAAATAGCTTGATACTGCAAGGGCCCTTTTCAGTAACCTTTCTTCCAAGGGTTTATAACCTGATGTTAAGACATACACTACGATGATACAAGGTTTTTGTGAAGAAGGCCTACTGCATGACGCTAAAGAGTTGTTTGTTAAAATGGAACATAATGGTTGTTTGCCAAATGATGTCACTTACAACACTATTATCCGAGGATTTATTGGACAACATAAGTGCTATGAGGCATTAATACTGGTTGAGGAAATGGTTCAAAGGGGTTTTTCAGCAAATGCATCCAATTCTTCCTTGGTCATAGATATACTCTCAACTAAAGGACAAGATCCTGCTCTCCAACAAGTGATAAAGAAGTATATGCCCAAAGATAGTCATGGAATGCAAGAGATTGATTAAATTGCTTAAGCTATGAAGGTAAAGCTACACATATTATAACATATATTATTAGGTGAAGCCCTTTTTTATTTATTTATTTATATATTGACATGGGCTTATACTTCTCCATCAACTATTTTGGACTTGTTGCTACATTACCTTGCAACATTATTTTCATATGTTGTAGATTCTTGTAGACTATTTGTTACCTCTCTCTCTCTGCAGTATTTTAATTCACATTTTACAAATTCAAGTAGATTCTTTTTCAGTCCCCTAAATTATGTACAAGTGGTCATTTCTGAGGGATTTAGGACAAATGACAGCCGGTGGTAATTTTGGAGATTTCTTTCTTAGGTATGTGGTCATCAACTAGTTCTCTGAAGGAGAATTTATGGTATTTATAGTGTAGATGATTAAATGTCTCTGAATGTGGTGTTGGAAGAGGCATCACTGTTGTAGTATGCTAAACTAGTTACAAATTACAATAATGGTTGGTCTTTGTGCTCTATGAGATTTATACAAAGCTTGAGAGGTTTTACATCATAGATAAGATTGTCATTGTTAAATGGAAGAAAAAAAAAATAAAAATAAAAAGATCAATGAATGAACCATTCAGAAGTTGATACTTTTCCCAGTAGTGGGTGAGGCAATTCTTGCCTTGTTCGAATGCCTATTGTTGATTTATAATTTCCATTTATGTATCTTGTGCATAATGCCTCATAATTCTTTCACCGTTGTAGTATGCTAAATTAGTTACAAATTACAATAATGGTTGGTCTTTGTGCTCTATGAGATTTATACAAAGCTTGAGAGGTTTTACATCATAGATAAGATTGTCATTGTTAAATGGAAGAAAAAAAAATAAAAATAAAAATATCAATGAATGAACCATTCAGAAGTTGATACTTTTCCCAGTAGTGGGTGAGGCAATTCTTGCCTTGTTCGAATGCCTATTGTTGATTTATAATTTCCGTTTATGTATCTTGTGCATAATGCCTCATAATTCTTTCACCTTGTCAAAATTTTTGATTCCCCTCTTTTGAAGGTTCATATCGCTGCTGCCGCTCTAAGCAACCCCACTCACTCACATACCTCAATGCTGACATAATTCAATGGCAACAAAAAATTCTTGTTGAATTGACAACTGTTCCTTTTCTTCTAAGCTATTTCAAATATGATATTATTTTTATATTATTCTATGGGTATTTATTAGCACACTATATATTCTTGTGTTGATTGTGATGACTATCAAAAGTTCATTCATGTTTTTGCTCAAATTGAAGGTCATGTACTGGTAATTGACTTGATCAAGTAGAGTATCAGCATGCTCTACAATGCTAAAGCAAACGGGCCCTTAAGGATCAGGTTTGGACTCATCGATCTAGTTTTAATTTGCACCCTCATTATGATAATGGTGTAGGGACTTTGATAAAGGACCCGCGTGCTGATTATGGAGATTATTCAAATGCTTGATGGAGTTTTAAAGGCTCTATCATTTTGGATTGGGAAGGATTCCTTGTGAAATCAAGGAATTTGTGAAGTACCTGCAACTGCAGGAGCTTGATCTTTGATGTTTGTTTCCTCATACAAGGCAAGTGTCTAAGCCTAATTCCTCATCATTAAATCCCAAGGGTAGCAGCCTTTTTCAGCTCCACAAGCATCAAATTATTCTTATTTTTATTTGAGTAAATTTCACATACACTAACCTCCCTTTAGGTTTCTGACACTTTCAAATCGGCTTTTGTGATTTTTGAAATGACTTATGACACTGTTGTCTTAACGGAAAGCATTTTTTTTAACACTATTTTGCTAGTAGTCATAATGTTATATAAAATTCATTTTTATCGTCAAATTTAATAAATTTGAGAAGACAAAATATGCCTTGAATGTCTCACTCAATTTATCTTCCAAAACCATCCATCACAAACTCGGAAAAGCTTTGTTTCATCTATTTGTTTGAATTCCTAAATCCATATGTATGTGTACATAGATATATATTTGAAACTATAGTATGAGTCTTGTTTTGTTATTGTTTAATGCATATCTTGTAAATTCATTAGTTACTAAATTTTCAACTTTCAGTGACAGTTTGAAAAATTCGTTACAGAAGAGCATCACGAATTGTAAGTTTTAGTGACAATTTATAAAATCGTGACAAAAAAATCACTAATTGTCAATTTTTAGTGTCATGTGCAAAAAATCGTCACAAAAAATTATTTTTAGCGATGATTTTAGCAATGATTTTTTGGTCTAATTTTACAGTTTTAATTTTAAGAAACTTTTGTTTTAAAAGTGAATGTTATAATTGTCAATAATATTATGTTACTAATGCCTGCATTTAGGAAATTATTTAAACTTTTTATATGATTCATTACATCAATTAAAGGTATATTCTTCGATTTGCAAAACTTATTTTAAAACCTTTAATTTTTAAAATAAATGTAAAACATCAATATTAGAAAGAATAGTGCTAGAGTAACCACATTTGGGTACCATCTATTGTGACACCTCGCAGAGTACCATCTATTGTGACACCTCACATGACACTAATTAAACATCTGATGGGTCCCACCTTTCATTTAGAAAGCACCATTACTAATATTTTGTAGAGTTCATCACATGATATAGTTAATGTGTGAGGTGTCATTACTATAACATTACTATATGTGATCATTAATGTGGTCACCACATTACTCTATCAGAAAGAGTAATGTTCAGGATGACATTCGAGGTTAAGACAATATTTTTTCAAATTATCATCATTTAGTGATTTACTCTTTGAAGTTGTATAGAAAACCAAAAAAATCCGTATATTTGCAATTGCGAAAACTACTCCAATTTGATTAGTTTTGAGTTTATCAATTTTATTTCAACTGCTGATTTTGTTTTGATGTGTACACTGTATAAAATGTATTTAGAAAAATACGACTCTTTTTCTGCACGGGGCCTTGAGCAAGCATGTAAGTTGCTTTAGGGTTGAGGTGCTATAGTGTTTTTTCTTCTCTGATTAGTTGTAAATGCAACACAACACTCAAAAAATATACATATACATATATATGCATAACCCCTTAAATAGTGCCAATCAATAACTCCTTGTTCTAGGCATTCCTCTCTAGAATCCTCATTGAAATTTTTTCGGCCATTGGTTGTTAGAATACATGCTAGGATTATAGCGATCCCGATTTTTCCTTCATTGTTTAATTGTATTTCGAACTCGGTTCTGTATATGTGTTGTTGTCTTATTCCCGTTTCCATCCTTTACTCTTTGTATATAAGTCTTGGGTCGTGTTGGGCAGGCTAATCATGCTCTAAGTTAGTTTTCTCTCAAACAAACATGGTATCAAGTTAGTTTTCTCTCAAACAAACATGGTATCAAAGCCAAAACCCTAAACCCATCACCCACACAGCCACCAGCCACCAGCCACCATCAATACACCACCCGACCTCCACCCGTCAATACCTAACCTGTTCCAGACCCTATCGGCTCCAGCAGAAGGCCTCCACCTGCTGTTCCAGACCTATTGAGCTCTTCCAACATTTCTCTAGGTGGTTTTAGACCAGCCGACACCCATCCTAGGGTTTTTTCAGCTCAGACCGACAGCCTTCTGGGTATCTTCAGGCTTCTTCCATGGTCTGGTAGCTGCTTTGGACTTCCCTTTGGTCTTCTCCTATGTGTTTCGAACTCTCTATGATAACGTCTAAGTGTTTCTCCATGTCATATGTCCTGATAACACTCATTGGTTCATCCTCTTTATTACTACTGTGTTATTTTTCATTGTGGTTGAGCGCAAGACTGCTATTTTGATTGAAGTTTTACCTTTTTTTTTACCATTTTATTTATTCTTTGGGGTGGTAAATGGCCCCATTAATCTAAGTGTTATGCTCCCATAGTGGTTTGTGTTTGAGATTGCTTGCCCATTCCATTCCCTCTTCCCATTATTGTGATTAGTGCTGTGTTTTTGGTTAAGATAGTAGCATAAACATGGTTGACCCATCTAGTGAATCCACTACTTCTGACCCATTTAAAGGGGAGAGTCCCAGTCCAGTTATAACTACTACTTCTGAGAACCTGAACCCTAACCTCAAAATCACCACCTCTCCTCTCTGTTTAATGGTCAGAATTACCTTGCATGGTCTTAGTGTCTTGACACTTTTTCTGAAGAGTAAGAGGAAGATGGGATATGTTGATGGGTGAATTCAAGCACCAGATATCACTGATCTTGGCTGTGATCAATGGGAGATTGCCAATTCTTTGATCATGGGGTGGCTTATTCATTCCATGGTCCATGAGATTAGCGAAGGTTTTTTATCCATGGAGACTACCTAGGATGTTTGGGAGGTAGTAGCTGCTATATATTCCCAGAAGGAGAATTTTTCTCAATCATTTGAGTTGTGTCGGTCTATTGAGCGCTTAGCACAGGGTGAGCAGAAAGTTTTTCAATAGTACACCTTTCTGACTAATGGTTGGAAATGCCTAGATCATCTCCTGGATTACAAGCCCATCTGCATAGTTGACTCAGTTGGTTACCAGAAGTTTTTTGCTCAGGAGAGTCTTCAAGTTCCTGGAAGGCCTCAATGTGGAGTTTGACTTGGTCCAGAGTCGTGTCCTTGGTATGGATGTTCTTCCATCTCTTCTGGAGGCTTTTGCTTATGTCCAGAATGAAGAGAGTCGTTGTTCTGCTATGTTACCACTAACTTCTACAGACCGTTCGACGTTACTTTTTGCACCTTCTCGGGATGAGGCTGGTTTGTCACTTCCTTCTTCTCATCCTTCCGGGAAAGATAATTTGTTCTCTGATTACTGTTGCTAGCCAAGGCATACCCGTGAGACTTGTTGGAAGCTTCATGGTACTCCATTAGGGGGTCGAGGAGATCGCTCTGGTCGTAAAAGCGGGCATTCTAGTCAATTGAGAGGATTGGGTCTCACTCTCGTGCTCATCAGTCTAGTGCTGTAGAGACATGATTCAGCTCCAGTTGTGCTGACTTCTGATTTGGTCTCTGGTATGTCATCTTCGGAGTTTGAAGATGCTCTACGCAATCTGCTTGATCACCGGTCTCCTGTTCCTCTAGTGCATCTTCTGCTTCTTCTTCGTTTGCCCGTTCAAGTAACTTAGCTTCATCTTCTAGTGCCTTTTCATCCTATAAGGGCTTGCCATGGATTATTGATTCTGGTGTCTCAGATCATATGTCTGGGTCTTCTGATCTCTTCTTAGACTAAACACTAGCCTCTGGTCAGGATAGAGTTACGATTGCTAATAGTACTATTTCTTCTGTCTCCTGGAAAGGCTTAATCCATGCCACCCCTTCTCTACCTTGGTCTTTTGTTTTACATGTTTCTAATTTTTTTGTTAACCTATTGTCATTGAGTCATCTTACTATAGATTTGAATTGTAGTGTAACTTTTTTCCCTGATTCTTGTCTTTTTAAGGACCTTATCACGAAGAAGATGATTGGCAGTGGTAGGACAGAAACTGGTCTCTATATCCTAGATCAGACTGACTAGTAGGCTCATCATTCCATCTAGTCTCCATCCACCAAGAAAGATTTATAGTTGTGGCATCGATGCCTAGGGCATCCATCTTTTTTATTACTTTATGCCCTTCTGTTTTTATCAAAAATAAAGTCTTTGAGTTTCATTGTGAGTCTTGCCTACTTGGCAAACAACATTGAGCCTCTTTTGCTCCTAGTAATAATAAAAGTTCAGTTCTTTTTTCTTTAATTCATTAAGATGTTTGGGGTCCCTCTCGTGTGATGTCAATGAAAGGTTATCGATGGTTTGTTACTTTTATAGATGACTGCTCTCGTGCTACTTGGGTGTACCTCATGAAAGGAAAAAGTGAGGTTTTCTCTGTGTTTCAAAACTTCCATAAGATGGTTAGTACCTAATTTGGGGCAGTTGTCAAAGTATTGCGTTCTGATAAGGGAGGTGAGTGCATTGATTATAGGTTGGCGAAATATTTTTCCACTCATGGCATTATCCATCAAACATCTTGCACTAACACTCCTCAACAGAATGGGGTTGCTGAGCGCAAGAATCGTCATCTGCTTGATATGGCTTGTTGTATGTGCTTTTCTATAGGTGTACCTCAAGCCTATTAGGCCGAGGTTGTTCTCACTGCTGCATTCTCATTAATCATCTTCCTACACAAGTCTTACAAAAAAGGACACCTCTTCAAATTCTCTTAGATTTTGAGTCTCTGTTTTCCATTCCTCTAAAAATCTTTGGTTGTGTGTGTTTTGTTCACAATCATTCTCCTTCTCGGGATAAGTTGGATCCTCGTTCTCTCAAGTGTGTGTTTTTAGGTTATTCTCCTACTCAAAAGGGGTGCAAGTGTTATCGTCCTCCTTCTCATAAATGGTTTGTGTCCATGGATGTCAGCTTCTTTGAGTCTCAATCCTATTTCTTGTTCCGTCCAGTGTCCCAGTCATCTCTTCAGGAGAGTCTTGGAGTGAAGAGGGTCCTGTTGCTTCTATTATTCTTGACCCAATCCCGCCACCAGCAGTACCTGTTATTGCTCTTATTGAAATTAGAATTAGCCATGGCAATTGTAAGTAGTTCATTTTCATGATATTTTTCATACATATAGTGTGTTGCTGGATGCATGTACCAAGGAAGGGAAGATGAAGGAGGCAGAGGGGGTAGTTGAAGTCATGATACAAAGAGGTGTGGATCCTGATGTAGTCGCATACAATACTCTAATGGATGGATATTGTTTGCAAGGCCACATGGATGAAGCAATGAGAGTGTTCAATGCTATGGTGGACAAGGGCCTTCACCCCAATGTTTTTACCTATAACATTCTAATCAATGGATATTGCAAGAAAATGAAAATAGATGAGGCCATGCATCTCTTTCGAGAATTGCCTCGAAGGGGTTTGAAACCTGGCAATGCAACTTTCAGTGCTATGTTATGGGGTTTGTTTCAAACAGGTAGATGTGGAGTTGCTCAAAAACTGTTTAATGATATGCAAGCTGCAGGCATAATTCCAAATTCTCAAACTTATGGTATCTTATTGGATGGGTTGTGCAAAAATGGGAATATTTCTAAAGCATTGTCATTATTCCACATGATGGAAAGCAACAGTTTACATCTTAATGTTGTTATGTACAATATTCTCATTGATGCATTCTGCAAGGATAAAAAGCTTGATACTGCAAGGTCCCTTTTCAGTAACCTTTCTTCCAAGGGATTACAACCTGATGTTAAGAAATACACTACGATGATACGAGGTCTTTGTGAAGAAGGCCTACTGTATGAAGCCAAAGAGTTGTTTGTTAAAATGGAACAGAATCATTGTTTGCCAAGTGATGTTACTTACAACACTGTTATCCGAGGATTTATTGAACAACACAAGTGCTATGAGGCATTAATACTCGTTGAGGAAATGGTTCAAAGGGGTTTTTCAATAGATGCATCCACTTTTCCCTTGATCGTAGATATACTCTCAACTAAAGGACAAGATCCTGCTCTCCAAGAAGTGATAAAGAAGTTCATGCCCAAAGATAGTCGTGGAATGCAAGATATTGAGTAAATTGGTTAATCTTTGTGCACTATGCCAAATGTTAGGTGTGTACCCAATCTTTCTCCTCCCAAACACACATTAATGTGTACTATTTGGGTGTTATTTATTTTTTTCTTTTCTTAAGCTGTGAAGGTAAAACTACATTATAATAAAATGTGTAGCCTTTTATGCTCATAAAATGCCTTTTATTTGGTGAAACTCTTTTAAATATATGTATGGATGTTGCATCTTACCTGTACCAGTATGCACTGCACCAATGACAAATGCAGTACACTGACTGGTACGATATTAATGACATTGGTTATGTTTTATTATGCCTCTTCTCTTACACTAGGATGAAATTATTGGTAAAAATTAATTTGTTTGGTACTGATCTATATTAGCAAGAAGATTGATCATGGAATTGTTCCTTGTGTAATTTCTATCCGGTGGACGGATGGCGGATTGGAGGTTACTCGGCCGTAACCGAACTGCAAACACCCCTATTTCGAGGTGTGATTCGCTTATTTTGAAGATGCTTCAATCTGCAGAGTATGAACATCTACGTTGATGATGATGATGATGAATTGTGAATCTGTTAAGGTCATCTATATTAGGATGATTAGCTCTGTGTGTCCATGAAAGCACCGTATCTTTTATTCATGTTGCTGTGATTTAGTACCAAAGCTAGTGTCAATTGTAGTTTTTTTTTTTTTTTTTAAATTTGGTTCCCGATAATAATTGTTCTTCAAAAACTATTTTGCTTGTGGAATTCCCTTGCTTTTACTTTCATGCCTTATAACCTGTAATTTTTTATTATATTCTGAGGTTGATTCAAGAATGTTCTTTTATTGTTGTTGTTTTGGATTATATTGGTTTGATTCATTCTATCAAGTTCATATCTTGCAATTATATTGACAAAAATAATTACAAATTAGCGATAAACTTTATAAATATTAATAATTAAAAATATAAAAATTTTCACCTGTGCAATTATTTTTTTTAAATTACACTGGGGTGTAATTGCCCCTTTTTTTAAAAGAGGCACAACAACCTTCAAAATGTTTACATCGCTGCTTATTTTAGTCCCATGATGGTTCTTGAATAAAATTCTTATCAACTGGTATGGTTTTTGAAGCATTTTTATTTATTTTAATCTTTTAACAATTAAAGTATTAGTATGATTTTAACAATTAAAACATTAGTATGATTCAAGACTGCAAAGAACTTAATACTTCATAATATTAGTATTGTTGTTAAACTTTTATTTGATAGTACATGTAGGTTAAGTTATGTCAAGTTTATATTGTTATGTTTCTAATTATGGCGAAAGCTCCTCGTGTTTGAATAATTGAATGCAACATTGTGCTGTTTTCTTAATTTTGACATTGATACATGCTTAGAAATGTAGTAATAGGTGTAATATCAGTTTAGCCATGGACTACTAGATTTATTATGTTCATCAAAAACAAATAATTTAAATTTAGTGAGATGTCAAATTCATTCCTACATATGGGATTTTTTTTCATTTCTTTTTTGTTTGCTTGTTTAGAATTTTTCTTACATTGAAAAGATGGATAAGTGAATATTGACTGACCCAAGGGCACAACAGGATGGTGGATTTGATGGCCATGAATCTCATGGATTTTTTTATTGGTTTAAATGCGTTTGTAATTTCTAAACTTATTTCTTTTGATGGGATAAGTGAGAAGCGGAGAGATAATGTACTACTAATGATTGTGTAATATCTTAGATTTTAAATATTTGAATAGTCTCGTCACTGATAAGTTGTGATTGTAAATCTGATAGCAGTTCATTATTTACTTTGCCAGGACTTTATATTGCTTTTCCCTTTTAGTTCTAAAATACTTCATTACAACTTGAGGCAAATTGTTTTGAAGTTTGTTTTGCCTTTTAATTTTTGTTGCCTATAGTCTATTTGGATTTTCTGAAGTGTGACTTTTTTTTTTATATGATAAAATTGATCTTTTTAACGGTTTTTTTCTTTAGCCTTCTATGAGGAATCAAATGTATTTTGATCACGAAAAAAGTGTGGATGTGATAATTGTTGGTATTTAGTTTGTTAATTGCAGGTAAATTGAGAGACACACTGGTGCTTTTTATCAAGATGAGTTATGTTGGAATTTTATTATGTTCAATTCCTCTTAGTTCATAGTTGTTTGTTTTCTACTTTGTCATAAGTATTTTGATGTTATTTTTTCTATTATGATTTCTTTTAGCTGATTTTTTAAAATGAATTCAAGCGTTTGAGTGGTTTTGTTGCAGGTGATTTATCCGCATTAGAAACGTTAGGGTTGTGTTGCTATTATTAGTCATCTTCTTCTTCTTTTTCTTCTTCTTCTTTTAAACAAGCTAGGACGATTATTATTTTTTACCAAAATATTCAGTTACCATTTCTCGAAGGGATTGAAATTTGCTAAAGCGAAAGGCTTACCTAGTTGTGATACTAATTCAAAAACATTACTACGTGTGTTGTTTTGACATGTATATCTTTGCTTATGTTGAACAGAATAACATTTTTATTTCTAAAAATTTGCTATTTAAATTTTAATTCTGAAGTTTGTGAAACCTTAATTTGCTATTTCAACTTCTTATGCGTGAAGTTTTAAATTGGAGTGAAATTGTTTTCATTTTAAATTGATTTATTTTAATTGAGTGCTCTAGAGCGTGTGATATCAACAAAAAAAATTGTTGAAAGCGCCTCTAGGCATAGGTTCCGAGTATCATTATAAAACAAAGTTTAGAAAGTGCCTTTTGTTGACTTTAATGTCTAAAGCCTTGTTTTGATAATGTTGATGAAAGAGAATGAAAAACCTTGGTGGTATTGTCCTTAGACTAGGTATCCCCCAAGAGGATGCGAGATAGAAAAGATGCGGTTGGGTGTAGAATCAATGCTTTGAAATGCACAAAGCCTCTTGCATAGGTAAAGTATGAATAGGTGTTGTTCATATCCTTTTGTAAATAATCACAACCATTCAAAATAGGTGCAACCCCTTGAAGGGTTATGTTTTTTCCACCGATAAGACAACCGTTTGGATTGATCACTTTCTAAACCTACCCTATCTCTCATATGTGAAATAATTTCCAGTAAACCATTTTAAGAGTCCTATTTTATTATAGTTTAATGGATATCTTGTGAATTCATTCTATGTCCATTTTGGCTTTCCCCTTGTCCTTAACAGTGCATTCATCTGGAACAATAGACCACCTGTATGCTAGTCAATTTTTATTATTTGGATGCCCCTTGTGCTCATAAGCATGTAAGCTGTCGTAATGATTGTTAGTTTCTAAGTTCTATCCTTGGGAGTCTCTTCATGACAAGAACAGAATATTAGAGCTTTGACAGTGCTTTGAATTGACCCAAGTAGATTTTCTACAACCATTATGGTGTTCTAGAGTTGCAATGCTATAGAAACTTGCAGCTTTGAATAACTCCAAACATACAAGGAAAAAGATTAGAATTAAAGAAAAAAAAGAAAAAATGAAACAAACAATTTAACAAGAATAAAGTCTATATCTGGAAAATTGATTTCGTTCTCTTTATGTGCAGGTTAAGAAGAGAGAATAAATTTTAAGAAAAGCAAAGGTTGATGTCCTGATACACACAGTGAAAAGAAGCTAATTGCCTAGACATATCTACAAGAAAGCTTACAAGAATTTTCGGGAACAAAGTTATACAAGCAACTGAAGTGTAATGCTGACAAAGCTTAGACTAGTTTTACTTCCAGTAGCTGAGAACAACATTTAACAAGAGTTCCGTACTTGGGAAGTTTACTTGTCTTGTTGTGGAATACCATAAAGTTACGCACAATTTTTTATGTAAATTGGAATTCCGAGTTGGCTCGTTTACATGGCTGTTTAGGTTTCCAAAGCTTGTTAATACATTGGCTATTTTATGTCTACACTGTTATGTGCTGGTTCGGCTAGCCTATATTTGAAACTGTCTTTTGAGCTAGTCTTTTTTAATTAATTTCAAGACTATTATATATTATTCATCTTGTTCTTCATCGCTCTTGGAAAATGTTTGGGACCCTATCTGGGGATGACCCCCACACTCCCAAAGTGATCCTAGCCCTCCATGTATATGTGGGATCCACACATGTATGTGTAGGGTTCATATCATGAGTGGTCCAGATTTGTGGGGGTCTTATAGGGGTGGGGGTCTCAATCATTATGAAGTGTCATACATACCATATGCAAGTTACGATCAAAATTGGTGTTGGTTATGAACTATAGTGGCATTACACAATGGGCCGTTGTGGTGGTGTCAGGCTACCAAATTGTCAAATTAAAGTTGGTTAGAACTTCTCGTATTTTGTTATGTTCTCGTTGTGGTAAATTAAGTTACAATCACTGTGATTCTTTGTTCAGATAGAGGTTTATTTTTAGGCTGGGGTTCACTTTGTTTTCTTGTAATGTTTATGCTGTTTGTCAGTAGGTTCGGGTCGTTCAAGTTTCCCTCCTTTTGGATTGAATGCTTAATGGAAGTGTTCTTTTCACCCTGAAATAAAATGTTATTCTTATCTTACTGTTGAAAGAAAAATCATGATAATGAACTATTTACAATAGCCATGGCTAATTTTAATTTTAAGCTCAAAGAATTGGTTGAAATTCATCTACGACGCCTTGTAACTAGTATATATATATATATATGTATCTATTTTGTGCAAGTAAGGACAGGTGAAATTGATGTTGATAAAACCTTTATGGCAATGCCCTTCAACTATTTTGTCTTGTAAAGAAATAGGAGGACAAGGTTGGATACTAAACTAATTGACCATCAATTAGAGGGTGTGTGGAGGTATCCTATCCATTTGATCACACATCATATGAAGTAAGCTTTGAAGGGCCTATGAAACTTAGACCAAACTTAGGCCTGAAGTTCAATTCCTAGGCAGACCAAACTTAGATCTTTTGCATTTGCTTTGATTTTATATGTTACTATTTTCCTTAGCTAAACAAATGTACTTCGTATTCTTAAGAATTTTTGTACAACAGAAGTTTTTAAC